TTCGCATATTTTGCTTTGTTTTTTTTTTCAACCAGATTGTAACGTTTCTAAAATCAGATATTGTGATTCATTCATCTTGCTGTTTTCAAAAACACCTAGCATGCCATCATCTCAAAGTAAAAGTAAAAATAAAAATGTACTGATGGAATTGAACATTATCCCTCAAACTTAATGGTCTTGCATCACCACTTTTCCTCTTTGGGGGACTGGGTGTACATTGCCTGCATAAAGGATGGAGGGAGTACAAAGGTGTTTTTTATTCTACAGATACTTTTCAAAGGAGTAGGCTCCTTCCTGACTATACTAATTCAACCATAGCCTTATTTGACATAAAATATATCAACATTATTATTGCATTTGCTTGCTACTAGATTTTATCACTTTGTTCCTCCTCTCCAAACACCTAGTTGAGAAGCACTAGTCATTTGCTATATATAATTTGAATTATTTATGTCCTATTTTTATTGCTCCTGGGGGATTTCCTATAAACCATGTCTGGCCCATACATTTCTCTTTAGCACCTCCAACTTTCTAAATATATATTTCCTTTCTTTGAGTTTGTACCATGTGGTTTACCACAAGTATAAAGTAGGGGTCAAAAGAAGTACAAAGCATCTTTAGGTAAAAAAAAAAAATCACATTTGTCATAACATGAAATTTTACTTTGAATGCACAGTGGATTTAACATATAGATAAGTACAGTCAATGGAATAACAGAATATTATAAAACATAATCTCTGGTGGCTATTTATCATTTATTGACTTAAATTTACTATTCAAGTAGTTATATAGCATTCTTAGGTGATGTAGAGTATCAGTATCATTTTAAGCATTACTGAATTTGTACATATGATATTTATTCAAAAGTTAACAAATATTTATTGAGCACCTACTATGTGTTGAGCATAGTGCTCTGAGATTACACTGGTAATCAAGATAGACACAGACTCTTCCCTTTTGGAACTAGCATTCTAGGAAAAAAAATAAAGTAACCAAAGTGACACATAAGTGTAAGTTGTAATAAGTGCTAAAAACAAACAAAAAACAAATGGGGGCTGGAATAAAGAATGAGGTTGGGAGGGGTTGCTGGCAGGGTAAAAATGCTTTAGATAGCATTGTGTGGTTTGGGCCTTTCTAAGGAGGAAATATTGAACCTGAAAATTCCGACAGGGAAAAGGTGTGCATGTGGCCGTCAGTGGCTGTGAAGCTGTGGACATCCTGGCCAGGACAAGGATATCAGATATCAACCTCCCAGCCCTTGGACCCTCCCCTGTAGACCCTCAATATAATGCTTTGATCCCTCTCCCCAAAACAAAGCTGTGTGTATGTGTGTATACACACCCCACAAAAAGGAAGTGGTATACATAAAGACATCGAGGCACTGAGAGAAGCCTGGTGTAGTTCAAAAAAAGGTGATAAAATGAGGAGCCACGGTCACAGGTGAGGTTGTTGAGGTGGGCAGGAGCTGGATTGTGAGGGGACTTATGAGTCACTGAAAAGAAGTTTTCATCTTACTCTAACTACAATGGAAAGCCATTGAAAGGTGCTCACAGGGACCTGAGAAGATCTAATCTACTGGCTCAGAAGGACACTCATTGGGAGAGGCAAATGGGTCCACAGAGGAACAAGGAAGACACAGAAAGATGTTGGGAAGCCTCTCTGGGTCTTGAGGTGGGAAATGGTGGTGACTTGGACCAGGCTGGTAGTAATGAAGGCAGACAAAAATGGATGGATCGGTGGTGGGATGAAGGTGGAGGGTGAGTTAGAGAGGAATGAAGTTGGAATCAACTTTTTGACTTGAGACAAATGTAATTGAATGTGGGAATGGGGAAGAGGTTTTATAGGAATGGATTCTGTTTTGAACATGTTAAGTTTGAAACGTTTGTAAGCTATCCAAACGAAGATATCAAGCTGGCAGGTGACAGGCTTACTAGTTTGAGCTCAGAGGAGGGGTGCCAATTAGAACTATGGCCTGGGGAGTAATGAGCTTCCAAGCAGTACTTAAAACTCTGGGAATGGATGAGATCACCCCAGAAAAAGAATTCAAAGAGAAAGAAAGAATATCTAGGATAAATTCCTGATTTAGACATTGGGTAGGAGTAAAGGAACTTGCGAGGAGCCCGGGGAAAAGGTGGGGAGACAGGTAGAAGAAAAACCAGGAAGCCCCCAAGAAAGAATAACGTTAAGTAATCAAGATCTGGACAAGCAACTTAATCTTTCTGTGCCTCTGTTTCTTCCTCTCTAAAAATAAAAGCCTATAAAATAAATTTATAATTTTTATTGAATAAATTATAATAGTGTATTAGCTTTCTATTACTTTTGCAACAAAGCACCACAAACTTAGTGTCTTAAAGCAACAAAAACATACCACTTACATATTTGGGGGTCAGGAGTCCAAAATAAATTCTTTCACCAGGCTAATGTCAGTGTGTTAGCAGGCCTATGTTCCTTCTGGGGACACTGTTTCATTGTCCTTTCCAGCTTCTAGGGACTGCCCGTACGTCTTGACTCACTGTCGCCTTACAACCCCAAAGCTGGCAATGGTGGGTTGAGACGTGACATTACTCCAACCTTGTTTCCATGATCACCTCTCCTTTTGACTCTGCTCCCCTCACCCGCTTCCAGTGTTCACACTTGTTTCCTCTATCCAGAACATCTTCATGCTCTCTGCCAGGTAGAATTCTGTGCACACACTTTTTCAGCCCCATTTCCAACACCAGTCTTCTCAGAAGCCTTTTTGACCCTGGCAACAATGTCTTCTCTCTCCCTTAACATATGGCTGTCCTGTGGCTGTCCCACAGATGCGCCTGCCTTGTGAGCATGCCTGTATGAGCTCTATTTCTCCCCACCAGGCTCTGAGCTTGTTCAGGGCAGTGAGTGCATTTTCTTGCACTCACGAAGACTAGATCCTATGTTTGGATCCTGAATCTGCCCCTTTCGAGCTTGTGGCTTTGAGCAAGTTACTTAACCTCTCCAGGCTTCAACATCCTTATCTGTTAAGTGGGGTTAATGATATTACTTAGTCGGCAGGCTTGTGGCAAGGATTTAAAGAATAAAACACAGAAGCTAGCACATGGAAGCACTAATTAGCATTTGTTGAACTTTAGCACATCTGGATGATTGCACATTTGCTATTACCATTTCATTTGGGAGAAGAGAGATTTAAGTGTTACATGACTCTCCCCAAATTGGAGAAGAACCAGGTTCAAAAGTTATATCACTTCAACTCCACTTCCCAAATACCCCCTGCTCCTCATTTGGAAGGAATATATTTATTTTATGTGAGTGTTTTGTCTTTTTCTTAAGTAGAAGCCCAGAGCTAGGTTACCTAATATTACATACTCTGGCTTTAACATATGGGAGAGTATTTAGGCAAAATTCTCATCCTGTAAAACTTTTCACATTCCGTATCACATCTGGCCAACCCCCAAAGTCTCAGCTGTAAACTCCTTGATTCTAAACCCACAAGCTACTTGAGAGCAAGCTACCAGTTTCTCTGTTACATAAAACCCCTGCAGTATCTGGGAGCCTCAGCTACTCCTGAAAGATCCCTGACATTATTCCCAGTTGCCTTGCTCTTTTATTTTAATTTGGACTTGCTAGAGGCCTGGAATGTAAATCTCCAAAATGCCTGAGCTAATCCAAATACCTGTTTTAAGATTTAAGGAAAAATTTAAATGACTCCAGGACTGTAGTTGGCTGAGAGCTGTCAGAATGTACATTGGGGTTTCCAAGTTTGGTTCAACTGTCATCCTCTTGGGGCAGAGATGGAAACCTCCATGGCTGGAGAATCCTTCTTTGCTTCAGGAAACCACAGATTGCAATGCAAATCCTGTGACGGTATCACTTGGAGAAGTAGGGCAGAGAGATTCTGGCAGCCTGAGAAGAGGCAAGGCACTTGCACACCCTACTTGAACTCTGCTGTGGTTGATTTTGAGAGAGAAAAATGTTCATCTCATTCTCTGGCTCAAAAAATTCAAATGCTTCTCTAATGCCAACAAGATGAAGCTAGACTTGTTGGCCTAGCCATTCAGGCCTGCCACAAACCAGGGTCAATGTACCTCTCTGGCTTTCTGACCGCCTCAGCCCTGCCAGCAGCCTTGTGACTTATTTCATCGTTCTCGGCGTCCAGCCTGCCTCCCGCGGGCCACATGCGGCCTGGGATGGCTATGAATGTGGCCCAACACAAAATCATACATTTACTTAAAACATGGTGAAATGTTTTATTTTCATTAGTATTTATGTAGTTAGTGTGTGGCCCAAGACAACTCTTCTTTTTCCAGTGTGGCCCAGAAACACCAAAACATTGGACATTCCAATACACGTACGCTGTAGTTTCAACGAGATGATGCTAAAATGTGATGTTTTAAAGGGGGGAAATAGTAATATTTCACTTCTATATACCAGTCATTGTACAAAAAACACTTTACATACATTAACTTACTCTAATCTTCATGACCCAATCACCATTAAATTTTACCAATAAGGAAACTCAGGTGTCAAGAAAATTGCCCAAGATTCTATAGTTAGAAAATGGTGCAGCCAGGGTTCCAACCACAGCCTGGCTTCTTAACCACATTCTGGAAAGACTTGTTCCGGGGGAGGGATTGTTCTCTTGACATTTGAACGTCCAGGAACTATTACTGCATCTGCTGGCTTCCACTGACTTTATAAGATGTTGCTGACTTGAAACTGAGCCTTACAAAGGAGAAAATGGACAAATCCTCCCTTAAAGCCAGTGTCTTCCCTAGAGCCCCAGTGTGCATTATAATCTGATAATTTTCTCTATTTTTTCTGCAAAGGACAAAACAAAGCTAGGTGTTTCTCTGTATCATCTTCCTTGCTAAGAACCCTTACTGAATTACAAGTTCATAGGAGAAGTGTTTATATGAGCTGTATAATTTAACTAAACTTTCCACAAGAATGCACTGAGTTAATGGATAACAGCTGTGGGTACTGTGAAAAACAACTTGTCCGTACCTGGAGTGCCGTCATAGGGCTTCGCCACCCTGGCTGCATGTTAGAATAACAAACGAAGCTTTTAGAAATGCCAGGTGACTGGGCCCCTCCCAGACCTCAGATTGTATTCCGGTCAGTGTGGGGGAGTGGACAGGAATCCGCGGATTTTGAAATCATGCCAGGTGATACAAATGTGCAGCCAGGGTTAGAACTCATCAGCTAGAAGAAAAGGTATGTATTTATATATTTGTTTGGAGTGATCTGCAATCCTTCGTAGTGATCCCAATCTCTAATTTACTTAAATCTTGAACTATATGGGTCCTTTCTAACCGTCCAAAATGTATTTTTAAAGACGTGAACAATAGCAGTAACTCTGAATATATAAATGAGTTAACGAAACACAAAACATTTCCAGATATGGGCCATTCCTTGGAGCCTTTTAAAAAATTTCTTTAAATCTATATTTATTTACTTTTTAGAGAGAGAGGAAGGGAGAGAGAAAGAGGAGAGAAACACTGACATGTGAGAGATACATTGCATGGTTGCTTCTCACACCCCCCCAGCTGAGGACTTGGCCCACAACTGGGAATCAAACTGGTGACTTTTCAGTTTGCAGGCGGCTCTCAATCCACTGAGCCACACCAGCCAGAGCGCTTGGCACCTTATTACTGAAAGTGTATTAGAGCATGGTTTGAGGGTGTGCGTCATCAGCCCTCTGGGGCCGGTTAGATGCAGGACATCAGGCTCTCCCCTAGATCTGCACACTTTGACTAGATTCCCCGCATAGTGTGAGAGATCATCTGTTTCGGCGCCCCTTTTACATATGGGGAAGAGAAAACAGGGTATGAACAAGCTGATGGAATTCCCACCCAGAACTCAACTCCCAAAGTGGGAGCAGAGAGACCCTGTCTACTTATTCCTGCTCTTGTGACTTTTTTACTACATTATGCTGATATGCCATAAAAATAAATTATTGCGGCTTTCTTTCCCCAAGTGGATCAAGATTATCCTCCCTCTGTCTAAAGAATGCTCATAGGAAAATGGGGCTTTAAATAAGTAACTCATGTTCGATAATGGGGGAAAGACTTCTATGACAAAATGTATAGATTGAAAGTAGACTTGTTCTATAAAATCTATTTTACTTGAAATCTATTTTATTTCAAAAAGAAAACTAGTTGGACTACTATAAATTCATCTTTTAAACAAAAGGAAAAATGCTTTAAGTATAAAGCCATAAAATGGAATTATTTTCTTTGAAGTCTAGTGAGTAAAAACAAATCTTAAATAACAAAGGCTGGGTTTCACTCCAATGAAAATTTCCTTCTCCACTCTGCTTTAAGTGCTTTATTGGTTAAATAAGAGCAAGGGCAAAAACCTGGACATACATGTTTAAAATTAAAAAGTGATCCTGATCCTGCCCAATCCTGCAGATTAAACCATATTTTAAGTCCATTATGCCGTCTTTCAATTTCTTAAGCTTCTACATATGACAGGCACAGAATTTTAGAAACATTTTTTGAGTACTCTGTGCAAGAAGACATTTGATAAGGTTCTACATGGGGTAGATAGTCACCACCCTCAGTGACCTATTGCTTACCTATTGCTACTGTAACAAATTCCCTCAGTAGTGTGGCTTAGTGGAGTGAGTGCCAGCCTGTGAACTGAAAGGTTGCTAGTTCAATTCCCCGTCAGGGCACATGCCTGGGTTTCTGGCCATTTGGGGGTATGAGAGAGGAAATGGATTGATGTTTGTCTCCCTCTCATTTTCTTTACTTTTCCCATCTCTAAAAATAAATAGATAAAATCTTAAAAAACAACAATAACAACAAATCACCACAACTGAGTGGCTTAGCCTGTAAAGTCTGTATTATCTTAAGAGTTCTGAAGATCAAAAGTTCAAACCATTTCTCACTAGGCTAAAGTCAAGGTGTTGGCAGCCTGTGTTCTTTTTGGAGGCTTTAGAGGAGAACCCATTTTATTGCCTGTTCCAGGTGCTAGAGGCTGCTCCTAGTCTTTGGCTTGGGGTCTCTTCCCCATCTAAAGCCAGCAGTGTAGTGTCTCTCATCCCTGACTTCTTCCTTCCTTGTGTCTCCTCTCCCTGACTCTGACACACCTGCTTTGCTCTTAATAGGACTCTTGTGATTACATTGGGCCCCCCCCAGAAAATCTGGGATGATCTCCTTATATCGAGATTCTTAATTTAGTCCCATCTGCAAAGTCCTTTTTAGGGTATACAGTAGCATACACACAGTCCAGGGATTGGGATGTGGCACCTTTGGTGGTGGTGGGCGGGGGGCATTATTCACTGTAGGGGTGCCAAGAAGAGGGGACAAGGGTGAGCTACAAATGGCTGGGAAATTTTCTGAGATACAAATGTATGTTTTCTTCCTGTATTTTGTTCTTTATCCTCCCTCACTTAAATAGGAAGCCAGGTTCTAACCTTGCCTCAGAGGGGGCAGAAAGCAGAAGTTACTGACTAGACGCTTCTCTATATCTCCATTTTTAAAGGCCTAAGTGCATTGAGGAACTTGTGCTGGGTGTCCTGGAGAGAGAGGTGAGAACTCTGGGGTTGGGTGGAGGGTGGACTTAGGACTAGTGTGGGAACTCGTGTTCCCTGGAAGCCAAGAGACCTCGCAGAAAGAGTTACATGGCTCTTGGTCTCGCCTGGATTCCAGTGCCTGCAGGCATAGCACAGAATCAGCATAGCTGATAACCAGGGGTGTCCTGGTGACTGAGGTCCAAAGGAACCTCCCTGGGGTCCTGGTGCTGCAGGAGGACCAAGAATGACTGAGATTGAAATAACACCCCAGCACAGGGTGAGGGGCTCTCGGAATCAAATAAATGGGTTGAAGGAAAGTAAGAAAATACAGTATTTCTTGCCCAAGTGTCCAAACCATAAATATAAAATGAAATAAAATCACGGCATAAAAGGCATATAAAGATGGGTAAGTCTGGAGTGAGATGAAGGCCAGTAACTGGGGATCGCACTGGGGCTGCGCACATCGCACCGCACGTGCGATCAGAAGGACCACGCAGGGTGCACAGGGCACCGAGTTCTCACTCAGGGGATCAGGAGAGACTTTCTGGAAGAACTGACATCTACGCTGCTTAGGAGTTAACAGTGTTTTCTTTTTGTAATTTTTATTAAATTTACTGAGGTGACGTTAACTAATAAAATTATGTAGGTTTTAAGTGTACGATTCTATAACATACCATCTGTATTTTTTAAGATTATTTATTTATTTATCTTTAGAGGTGAATGGAAGGAGAGAGGGAGAGAATATCAATGTATGGTTGCCTCTCATGTGTCCCCTGCTGGGAACTGGCCTGCAACCCAGGCATGTGCCCTGACTGGGAATCAAACCGCCATCCATCCTCTGGTTTGCAGGCCCAGCTCAATCCAATGAGCTACACCAGCCAGGGCACATACCATTTGTATATTGTATTGTATGTTCACCACCCAAAGTCAAGTCTCCCTCCATCACAATTTATCCTCCCTTTACTCTCTCCTACCTCTTCCCAACTCGCATTCCCTCTGGTAATCACCATACTGTTGCTTGTGTCTGAGTTTTCTGTTTGTTTAATCCCCTCACCTATTTCACCCAGCTCTCCAACCCCTATCCCCGCTGACAGCTGTCAGTCTGTTCTCTGTGTCTGTGAGTCTGTTTCTCTTTGTTTGTTTATTTTGTTCATTAGATTCCACATGTAAGTGAAATCATATGGTATTTGTCTTCCTCTTACTGGCTTATTTCACTCAGCATACTGCTCTCTGGGTTCATCCATGCTGTCAAAAAATGTAATATTTCTTTATTTTTATGGCCACACAGTATTCTGTTGTGTAAATGTTCCACAACTTTTTTATTCGCTCATCTATTGATGGACACGTGGGCTGCTTCCAAATATTGGCTATTGTAAATAGCTCTCTATGAACGTAAGGGTGCATATATTCTTTTGAATTAGTTAGTGCTTTGGGTATCTTTGGATAAATTCCTAGGAATAGAATCGCTGAGACGTTCTGATAACTAGAAAAGCAGTGACAGAAAAAGGGAAGATGAGAGGAAGACTTCCCAGCCCTGAGGTGGAAATTCAGCCTGCCCTGACCTGGGGATACACGCCCCTACTCCCTTGGAGCAAGAGGAGGGCATTTTTCATGTTTCACCCACCTGCCCTTTACCCTTCTGCATCTCGGGGTGGGGGGGGCTTCTTATTAAAATCCTCATAGGTGTATGGGAAACCTTCTGGACAGCCCTAGCTGAGTTATGCCCCAGGCAGTGGAAAGGGTGTGGCATGTGCTCAGAGAAGTTGGATTTGACTCATCTGTGAAGCTACAAGAATCAATGGAGCCCAGGCTGGTGTGGCTCAGTGGACTGAGCGTGGGCCTGCGAACCAGAGGATGGATGGCGGTTTGATTCCCAGTCAGGGCACATGCCTGGGTTGCAGGCCAGTTCCCAGCAGAGGACTCACAAGAGGCAACCATACATTGATATTCTCTCCCTCTCTCCTTCCCTTTCCCTCTAAAGATAATAGGTTAAATCTTTTTTTAAAAAAAAAAGAATCAATGGTTTAACTAAGGGAGAAAAGTTGAAATGAAAGAGAGGAAAATGGTGAAGAGAACCATGGTTTTGATTGTAGGTTGGTGGAGCTTAAAATGCCTCTCCCTATTATTTTTGAAAAATCAGGAATTGGTTTCATTTTCCAGACCAATCTTCACATCACGATCTAATATGACCAAACTATAATTATACACAGCAGTAGAGAAAGGCCCCTCCTCCTTATGTTGTCTCTGTTTGTTCCAGGTTCCAGTTAGGGATTCCAGGCACTCATTTTTCTCACAATCCCAGAAATATAAGTGCCTTTCCCCAGCCTCTCACTCCCAAACCCTTACTTACAGGGACATGACTTTCACATGTGCCCTGGTAAGAGTGGTGGAAGATGGGGCCTGGGGGCTAGGTCCTGGCATGGACTGGGCAGGAAGGGAAGGAAGCATCTGTGGAGTTGGCGGGAAGGAAGAGATAGCAGGAGCAGTGAGTCAAAGGTCCCTGCCTGCCCCGGGGGCATTGAATGGGAGGAGCTCACCCAGCTGTGGTTCTTAGGAAGCCTGGCCCCCTGGGGGCGGGAGGGGGATGGGAAGGAGTCGGTAGAGCGCCTCTGTTTTTCCTATAAGGATTACAAAAATAATCTATAGTATTAATGATTCTTTTTTACTCAGTTTCATTTCTGACTGTCTCTATTCACCTGTGCTGGTAGCTAAAAAGTATATAGTACCAGGTCCTCTGGGATATCTTGTCCTCTCACCTCTCTTCTCTAATCAAGTGTCTTTGGCTCTGGGTCTGAAGAAGGACCTTGGAGGTAGGAAGGAGCATGTGGGCCTGGTCTACACTATGGACCACATCTCCTCTTACTTGCTCCATGCTTGGAGCACAGGAACTGTTTTGTGAGGCTGCCTTTTCCTCCTTGGACAGTTCCTACATGTCTGGCCTGGAGGGTGGGTTTAACCCACAGGTACTACGTTGGACTGAATGTCTCTGCCACCTCCCCAATGCATATGTTGAATTCCTAATCCCCAGCGTGATGGTATTTGGAGATGGGACCTTTGGAAAGTGCCGAGGTGAGGAAGGCAGAGTCATCAAAAATGGGATAAGTACCCTTATAAAAGCTCCCAAAGCTCCCTCACCCCTTCCATCATGTGAGGACACAGTGAGAAGATGGCTGTGAACTGGGAAGCGGGACCTCACCAGATATTTAATCTCCTTGTGCCTTCATCTTGGACTTCCCAGAAGTGTGAGAAGGACATTTTGGCTGTTTATAAATCTATGGTATTTTTGTTCTAGCATCCTGAATGGACTAAGTTATGTTTAGTTTGACATGGATAATTGAGTCAATTAAAAATTAAAAGTCTGTAACTTAAAGTTTAGATTTGAAAAATCAGGAGATCTGGCAACACTGGGCCCCCACTCCTGCTGGGCAGCAATCAGCAGACTTTGGGTAATGGCAACCCCTCTAGGTGGGCCATTTCACTCCTCATAATCTTCTACAACTATCTGTGCTTCCCTCATTTGTCACCTACTTAGACCCTGTAAGTGTCTGAGTTGTAACTTCTGGCCTAGACACAGACATTTGTTTTCTGGAATCTACTATTCCTGCGCTTGTCCATTGCCCGACCCATCAGCTACTGAGAATGGCGTGTGCAGGTTATTTCTGATCTAGGAACTCAAAAGATCGCTTTCTCTCTCTGTCTGCCTCTCATACTCTCTCTGCCTCATCATCTCAGTCAGATGCATCTTTTCCTAGTCCAAAGGAGACTCTACCTTCCCCTTGCCATCTAATAAAACATTTTGTTTATACACATAAATTCCTTTCCCCAAGGGCTTATGCTTTTGGAACACAAAAGCCAGAGAGACTGGGGAGGCAGCTGGCAGATGGGGAGATTGCTCTCTCAGAAATAAAACAGAAAAAAGACAGAGAGAGAATAAGTTAGTGAATTCAATCTCTCTCTCAGATCTGAGTTTAAAACTAAGTGAGTTCTCAACATTCCTGATGAGACCAGATTTCTGGAACCTGTTATCATGTGTTTCTGTTCTTTATCTTCATAGAACTCATCACAATTTGTGATCATTTCATTAATATTTACTTTTCTATTGAACTGTAAACTCTTAACATAGCATCATTAAAGCCTAACAAAGGGCTACCACATATAGTGAATGTTATTAAATATTTGATGAAAGAAATAAAGAAGAAAGAGAGGAGGGATTAGGAAGGGAAGGAGAGGGGAGAAAAGGCAAGAGGAGGAGAGATAAAAGAGAAAAAGAGAGGAGAGAAGACACAAGAAGGAAAAGAAAGATCAAAAGAAAAAAGAGAGGTGAGAAGCCGGAGCAAGCAAACTGGCTGGTGAAAACAGTGTGGAATGGAAGTCCACTGGTTATCAGCACCCTGGGTTGATAGAGGAACCTGGGACACATTAGATACCTAGGCGGTATAGATATAAGCAATAGAGACCCTAGCATCTTGATGTGAATAGTGTTGAGGTCATTTTGTGTGTTGGTAAGCATTAGGGACTCAGCTATCAGACATGGGATACAAGTACTGCCATATTTATAAACCCTATAGGTTATCAGTGAGGATTCTTTTTATAAAATGTCCACCTGGCCTTACATTGGATTAAGGAGAAAAGCTGTCTGAGGTGGGACGAGGCTTGGGACAAAAGTTAAAGAGTTCAATAATCTTAAAAATGTATTTGAAAAATTAAACATACACAGTAGAAAGTATCTTCTAGCTCTCTATTAATTCTTTTTTTACTCTAGGTGACCCTTTGACTAAATATAGGATAAATATTTACAAGTAAAATTTATAAATAAAGATAACATTCTCTGAATATCAAATATCAACACAAAGAAACAAAAAGCACCTACAATCTCTGATGGAAAAAGCCACTTAAGCTTTTCTTTTAATATATTTTATTGATTTTGCTATTACAGTTGTCCCATTTCCCCCTTTATTTCCCTTTGCCCTGAACCCCCCACACATTCCTCCCCCTTAGATTATGTCCATGGGTCA